TTATGTTTTTGCAGATAATTGTTTTTATATTTTTGTTAGGTGCGCCGTGATGAGAATAACATACACCTAAAATTTCAAGTGATTTGGATTTGTAAAATAAATTAAATTAAATACTACCATTCATTCGTGATCGTCAGATCGGCCCATATTCAATATGGGCTGTTGACGCATTTCACTAATCTAAGCTAGGCTGCACACTTTAGACGTCAAGTATCATAGATAAGAAAAAAAATGGCATTTATAGACCTAAAAATATTTAATTTGCTAACACATTATCTAGACCGTCTATTTTCAATATTTTCAAGTATTTATAGATCTTTTTGATTGCTATCATTTAGGGCTAGTTTGATAACTGGATGATAAATATCCCATAGAAATTGGAAATTCTTATTTACTAGGAAGAAATAAGTTATTTAAGGAAGCTATGAATGAATGTGCTTGATAATTTACTGGAATGTTAAATAAATTCTAGGTGCCTGTGTTTGATAATATGTTGGAATATAAAGTCAGGTTTATTTAAATATTATAAAAATATTATATATTAAATATTATTTTTATATTAAATATTTAATAATATATATTACATACATAAAATATATATTATATAAATAAAAAAAGGGTAAAACTTACAACAGCTGGCCAGCTATAATGAATAGTATATAGGTGGAATGGGAGCCATCAGATCTTCATCATGCGGTTTAAAATGCACATCACTACTTTAATTTTAATTTTTTTTTATATAAATCTAATTAACATGAAATTTTGGGTGTGTACACCTAAAACTATTGCGCAGCATATAAAAATATAAAAAAATTATTTTCAATAATTTAAAAATGACCAAAATACCCCCATCATTCTTTAGGGGTATTTCGATCATTTTATATTTTGATAAATATTTTTTATTTGTACACCCTGCTTTTATTACACATGTCCAAATTGTCATTATAATACGATTTGTAGAAAAATAATTAAAATTAAAACAATGATATACATTATGAACCGTATAATACAGATCTAATTGTTCCCATTCCACATATAGTACTATTCATTATAGCTGGATAGCTATTTGTTAGCTTTTTCCAATAAAATACATTATATATTATACAATAAAATATAAAACATATAGAATATTACATTAAGGGAAAAGTTTATATAGAGCTAATGCTCTAACCATCAAAATTGAGCCTACCTCAAAAAATTCATTAGAATAAGTTGTTTTGATGCCCAAATATCTTCAAATTGATTTTGTCGACATCAAGATGCATGGACATAAGGAAAAAATGGATTTTATGTTTTAGAAATAGTGCATTTTATAACCCATTTTTGGACAGTCAATTTTCAAGATTTTCATAGATATGTCGATCTATACTATTTTTTAAACTTTAAACTTTATAAATAAATACAAAAATATATTTTAAGGCTGTCACAAAGATTTACCGTATTAAAACCACATTTCTCGACACTATTTGAAGGTAGGCTCTAATTTGATTATTTGGAGCCTAGGCTCTATATAAATGTCAC